CTGAATTAACTTGCAATATTTGCAAGTAATCGATACTGATTAACTTGCAATTATTTGCAAGTAATCGATACTGAATTAACTTGCAATTATTTGCAAGTAATCGATACTGAATTAACTTGCAATTATTTGCAAGTACACGATCCTGAATTAACTTGCAATTATTTGCAAGTAATCGATACTGAATTAACTTGCAATTATTTGCAAGTAATCGATACTGAATTAACTTACAATCATTTACAAGTAACCGATCCTAAATTAAGTTGTTCTCTTGCAAATAGCAAAATTACGCACGACAAATATACCTCGCCATCTAGGTTGAAATAAGCATTGCTGGCGATATTTAATATTGTTGGCTTGTCAGTTGAAGCTCGATAATCAATTACTATTTCGTTTTCATTTGTTAATATATATGTAACTTCTAAATGCACCTGAAAAAAAAGCAAAATTAAAAAATTTACAAAATTAAAATAAATTCAAAAAATTCACAATTATTAACAATTAATTAAATTAACACCATGTTATTATCATATATATGTATATGCAAATAAACTGAGCTTATTTTATTGAAATTAGTTTAAACCGACCAAAGATCAAATTTTTTCCTTTCCATTCATAAAATATCAGTAATCAATGAATGATAAATTGCTGTTCCTGCATTTCATGTGACAATTTATCAGTATAATGAATTCAATTTTAAATTCTTGCATTCGTTTACTGATGCTATGAATTTAAATGATAAATTTAAAATTGAATTGTTACATTCATTTATTGATATTATTAATTAAAATTATTGAATTTTTTAACTAATATGCTAATTAACCTGTCCTGGATATCCTCCTTCACCATCATGGCTAGTACATGTAAAACATACACCATTTCCTTCATCTAATAATTCATAATTCCACAATTTCTGTAATTTATTTTCTCAACTTTACCAACATTACTTATTTTTGATTAGAATTCAATTTTAATTTCATTACTTCAATTAATTTAATTCATTAAAATTTTTCACATTCTTAATTTGTTATGCTCATCTTTTTTTTTTTTGCATTTTATTTAATTCTTACTATAGTCAATCATTCTTTTTCTTGAATTAATTTTTCCAAAAAAAAGACAAAAAAAAAAAGAAAAATTTCTAAATTGATTATTTAGGATAGAAAAAAAGAAAATTTAAAATTAACTTTTGATAAACTTCCTCGTGTACCACCGTTCATATGATGTGGTGGCGCATTTAGGCCAACTTCATATTCTCTACTATCCAATGCAAACTTCCCATTACTTATATGTCCAGCAACACGGCCAATTACTGCACCAATACTATGAGCATCTGATTCATATTCTACAAATATATTCATATTCATATTTAAATATTATATATTTAATTTTATTCATATATTTTTAAAAAATAAAAATTTGTAAAACAAAAAAGTTAAATGTTTTACTGAGTACAGTAATATTTTTTTTTACAAATTGTTTATTATTTTACTTCTAATTTGGGCAACTTATTTATATCGTTTGTTTAATTATCCATAATCAGTTATTTTTATGAGTTATTTATTAGCATCATAATAAAAGTTTTTTTTTTCAGTCAAAAGACTTTCTAGAATATTTTTTTTTTAAAAAAAAAAAAATGCTTCCATAAATGTAAGAATATTAACTATTCTTGCATTAATTATTGCTAATTACGAAAAATGATTGACGAGAGGAAAATAATTCTTTGATTAAGAATGCTAAAAAGGAAAAATCTGGTCAAAATTTTAATGAAATTTTATTAGAATATATATTTCTTTTAAATTAAAAAAAAGCCAATAATGAATAAAAAAAATTTTATATGCTAAAAAATTCAAATAAAATTCAACTTCATTCTTGAATTGAAAATAAAGAAAAAGTCTTCAATAATAGCTATACAATTTAATAATACTTTAATTAAGAGAGTTCAAATGTAGATTGCAAAATTAATTAGCGAAAAAACTAGGGATTAAAAGGAAATTAAAACGATTACTAAAAAAACCTTCAAGAGTTCGAAATCCAAGTACAGTATCTCGTAGCACATCATTACGATCAGGTACGAAAGCACTCATTAATATTGCACCATAATTTAATAATTCAATTTTCATTCCATTATTATTTGTTAGTGATATTTTGACCACACGACCTTCGTCTCTTTTTGTTATACCAAATTGTTCAATTGTAATAAGTCGTAGCATTATATTTCAGTCCTAAATTAATAGTTAATTAATTAGTAATTTAGCTTGGCAAAAAAAAAAGTTTGTAAAAAAGTCATGTAAAGTTTATATTATACCAAAAATTTTGCAAAAAAAAAGATTCACGAATTTTCAAATTAACAAAATTTATCAATTTTTCAATTTTGTAAAATTTTTCATCAGATTTAGTAACAAAAAATTGCATAATGTATGATATAAGTATATATTAATTATAATAAGTGCTATATAAAATCAAAGAAATTAAGTAACAAACAAAAAAAAAAAGAAAAACAAAGTATATAAATTAAATTCATTTAAAAAGAAAAACGAATGAATAAATAATATTTAATTGGAAATAAAAAAAAGAAAGTTAGTATTTATTTAAAGAAAGAAATGCCGATGAATAAATATTTATCCATAGTGATAATAAGTACATGTATTTCAAATATTTTCATCAATTAAGATTTTTTTTTTTTTGAATATTAAAAGTAAAAAACGAAAGTGCTCAGAGATGGATTGAATAAAATACTGAAATTCCATTAAGTTATAAATGTTACTATAACTCCAATATTTCAACTATTCCCATCGTTTATTTCATTTGGAATTTAGAGAAAAAAAAAGAAAAAAAACAAAGATTTTTCAAGTCGGAAGCAATAAAATTAAAAGGAAAACAAAATTTAAACAATTTTTTTAACTTCAAAGCAATAAAATCAAACAAACAAACAAAAATATAAAATGAAATATGAAAAATGAAATTGAAAAAAAGATATTTACTAATAATTTCTATCAGTTTGTATTTTTGTTTTTGCTTAATTACAATGAAATGAGATAATGAAACAAAAATTTGAATAATCTGTAAATTTGAAACTAAAATTTCATTTTTGGAAGAACAAAATAAATTGAAATTTGCTCTAAGAGTAAACAACGAATTTGTATAGGATGATAGCTATTCATCATCTATTACAACAACAAATTAACTCTTATCTTTCCACTTTTTCTTTTCTATTTTAAACCAAAAAAACTGAAATGAACAAAATCAAATTTAATCATTATCAATAATTGTTTGAGTTTTTTATTCCTAAGAAAATACTTAATTAATGATATTAATTCCTTATCCATTGTAGTACAAATCAATTTCCTTATCCATTGTAGTTAACAACATATTGTTTACATTAAAATAATTATTACCCTATTTAATAATCATCATTATAGTTATCGATATCTTTACTCATTCATATTTCATCATACTTTTAATAGTTGTTTTACCTTCTTATGTTATGCTCTCTATTATTCATATTAATATCTTCAATCATTAATATCACTATACTATCATTATCTAAAAATAATCTCAACAGAAGAAAAAAAAACCTTAAATGCTACCAATAATGATTAAATATACTTAAATGTTATTATTAAAAATAAAAAATAACTAAATTAAAACAAACACTTATAATCTTAGCTAAATTTTATATATATCAAAGTTAGAATACATTTATAAAGAGTAAATTTGTTCACGTAAATGTTTACCAGTTACGTCACGTTTGAATTTTACTTTACGCAAAACACGTTGTTCCTATAAATAGACAAAATAGACTATTTATTTATACTTTTTTTTCCATTTATTTTTTTTTCTTCATATATATATAAATGATTTAATGGATTTATCTATCTTATTTAAGGAACAAGAATAACGGTCCTTAAAGTAAATCTTTTTTTTTTAAATTAAAAAAAATTTATACATATATATAAGCTGACATTGCCAAAGAATATATTTATTTTATTTGGAGATAGTATGAATATTAGTATTATCAACCATTCGTCGAATTATCTTGATATCAAAAAAAAAAAAGAATTAAAAATCAAGAATTATGAATTAATTTGATATTAAATTCCATTACACTACCATTAGCTGTTAGTATCATCAGTCATTAACATTAGTTTGTTATCATATCATAGCATACTATTGTTAATTGCAATTCTTAGATCAAAAGTGATCAATAAATATCGTTGAACAATTTTTGTGAAGTATTGTGAAATAAACTTTTGACGACTATTTCTTATTCATAAAATATTCGATTAAAAAAAAAAAGATAAAAGAAGAAAATTGGAAAAAAGAGAAAAAGTTGGAAAGAAAAATTAAATCAAAAGAAGTTTCCTCTTAAATAAAATCAAGCATCAAAGAGCTGAGTAGAAAATTTAAGAAAAAAAAGAAATTGATTCATTACTGTATCTTTTCTTTATTATTTGTTGTTGACTTAATT